TAATTTCGCATTGTGAATTGTGCTGCATTCGGGATTTTACAACGCGTCGAAGTCATATCACAGTATCGATTATTATTATTATTCTACCGACAATGTTTCGGATTTTAACGACGATACGAAAAAAAAAAAAAAAAACGGTCTACGTGATTTAACAGTAAACATAACACGCGCTAAACGTAATAAAAATGAAAAAAGTGCACACGTTGTTTTATTATAATACGAATTTCGTTCGCGATCTGTTTTATATAGCCTACGGAATTATTGTTTTTGATTTCGCCGTGTGGCTTTAAAGGCTTTTATGTTTTTCAGTGTAGGTCGCTGCCGGTCAAAGTATTCGAGTAAAGTTAAAGTTAAAATCGCCTATATACTCGTTCTCCTACGGATTTGCAGTGGTGTTTACGCCGCCAAACGATATTATGCGTATACAAATATTGTGAAATTTGACTATGCGTGTATGACGTCGTTGTTTCATGAATTTAAAAACATCATCTTTTGTGCATCACTATTTTTAGCGTCATGTTACACGCCACATCAGTGGCGTTATTCGGAGGAGGATATTAACTCTAGCCCCTGGTCTAACTTTTAGCATTGTCTCGGATTTTGGGCGGTCTCTTGCTTGTGGATCCGCGTGAAAAAAATGTCATATAATCAAAAAAAAAAAAGGTTTCTCATTAATATTATTTCTGATTGTTTTTTCTTTAACTAGATAATTATAGCAGTACATTGTCGTGTACCCTCTTCTAAATAATTATCTCTTATCGTCGTCTAGATATATTTTTAAAACTTATCTGTGCGCAACACTTTTTACGCCGCCTCTAAGTGTATACTGTAAAGACGGATAATAGTATTGTTATTCGAAAAGAAAAATTGTCGTGGAAAAAATATGAATACAACCATTACTCAAACCCTACACACGTAAATAAACAATTTATTTGAATAATCGTTATACGAATATAATAACCGTGTAATGTGTCGCGCAATGATTTGTCGAGATAATAATATAACGAACAAACGACTACGTCGACCAGCCGTACAACAACGATGATAATAGATACCTATTATAAAGCATAAAATGACACCGCCGAAAACATGAGACCGCGATTACCATCATTACCATCATTACCTAGGTACACATATTATTGCTGTTTTGAAATGTAGCGAAATATACTTCGCGCGATATTTCATTCGATTTTTTTGCTCCGGCGGTCAGTGGCACATTTAGGATTTCGCCGAAGAGAGAGGGCATAGCATTTTGTCAACATCATGCCGCGACGTGTAGCCAGAAAACAAAAAGCGATCAGTTTTTAATTTACATTATATTTTTCAGTCATTGACGACTTTTCAATCGGCCCGAAAATTTAAATTGAAAAAACAAATTAAATTTAAACAATAGATAGCTATCCGGTTTTTTGAAATAAATAATATAGGTTTCAAAAAAAAAAAAAAAAAACACTTCAAGAGGAGAAACATTCTTCTTGATCTCCACTCGAAATCCGCCGTTGCCAACGCCATGTACAATATGAGTTACTTACGGACAACGCGAAATTTAGCCATACAGGTTTACGTCGATTTCTCGAAACCGACAGTGGCAAAAGTGTGTGTGTGTGGGGGGGGGAGGGAGAGCAGTATAGTACGTGCCCATTCGATTATACTATATACATAATTATATAGGTATGTATAAACCATTACAAGTGTACCACTTTATAATCGACTGCACTTTTTTTGTGTACCCAATAATTATTTCAAATAAAAAAGAATACTACTCTGCGACGTGTCATAAAACCGTACCGAAATATACGATATCGATTTTAGTCGTACGATTTTTATATTCCAAATGCATTATGATTGCCTGCCTGTTCGTATTATACGCATTATTGCTACGTCGTAACCGTAACATAGGTACTTACTAATAATATTATCAACTCGTGTAATTGGAACCGTATCCGTCCGTGCGTCGTGTTATATGGTTTAGCTACACGTTTATTCTTCGTGTAATGCAATTTATTGACATGTTCTTCTCGAGTTATATAATGATAATAATAATATTATAATCAACACAAATCCGAAAAAATACACTTTTAGGAAAAAAAACTACTAAAAGCGACACAAAAAAATAAAAAAAAAAATGCTTAAAATATTTTAATAGTCTTTTGGACAAACCACTAAGACGTTTTTAGTAGTTTACTGCTAGACAGTTTATTTAAAATGAATTATAGACATGTTGTTTATAAAATGTTCCTAATAATGTAATCGGGCGAAAAACATTTCTAGAAGTTCCAATAACTAAACACAGCCCATTTTATAACCGAAATTATGATTAATGTAGGTTTTTATTCTTGTAATGATTTAGCAACCGAACTTTGACCCAAAATGAAGCAGCTCAATGCTTGATTTTTAAATTAAGTCAGATTAATGCCCGAACTTAACGTAGGATTCGGTGCCACTGATTGTACCAGAATACTAACCTATACACTAACCCGCATTATAGTTGTGCGTTTCAAAATTCTTAGAGACATTTATCAGTTTTGTTCTTACAACCTCGTTAATTATTATTTCATCGTTCTGGAGAAAAAACAAAAATGGTTTTGTAATTTAACTTAAACCTTTCGTTAGATATGCCCAAGTACAAAATTGAAATAGAATACACGGATTAAATATCGACGGCTCAAACAAAATATGAATTACGTGTCGTGTGCTATCTACCGGCGTATGCTATCTACAAAAATTGAGTACTTGTGTCGTATGGTATCTACGCGAAAAAATGTATTTTTAACTTACCTAAACATTTTTATTGGCGCTTCTAGTTTTACAGTTTTACAGTTAACATTGAAATTATAATCATCTTGTACAAATGTGTGTTATAAAACAACTTTCAAAGACATTGATCGGATGGACTGAACGCCACCATTCTTCCTGTAATTGCCTTTCGAGAAGGTTTGTTGCTTCACATGATCTTATGATTTTACTTTTAGGTGTTTCAATAAACACTCATTTGTTTGTGTTTGAGCACTTGTATGTAGATTTATGAAGTTCTTGCTATGGTTAATAGTTTGGTGAACAAAATTATGTTTCTCGGTCTCTCTTATTGACTATAAAAAAACGGCGTTTCCAAATTTCATTTATTAAAAAAAAAATAGAATGGGAAAAATATGTAGATAATTTTATTAGTGTAGATAGCACACAACACCGATAAATCGACTGTAGATAGCATACGACCCGTGTACTGATAAAATAATGAAAATATAGTATTTATAATTTATATATTAATATTGAGATAAAAAGAGAAGATATAATCTGGATAAAAAATACAAAAATTATACATTTTCCTTCTCGATTACATGTTTGTATAGAGCCATATAGAGGGTTGATAATTAATATTTAATTTCGTATTGTTGACTTGATTGAAAGTAACAAATTTTTATAATTTTCATACGAGGTAATGATTGACAGTCGTTTTGTTTTTGTCTATACACATAAGCAATAACACGAAAAGATATAAACAGTTGTGAGTATCGTAGTTAAAAAGGTAAAAAGTGCACAATAGTGTTACCTAAGACCGATGATGGATGGATAGGGAGACTCCGGAGAGAGCGGAACAAAGAATAAGAGTGGCTGACCCTATGCTCGCATGGGACGAAGCCGATAATGAATGAACAAGAGAAGAATTCGAAAAGTAATTATTTTTTCTTCGTCTAAATGTACGTCTGCCTGCCACTAATAATTTTTTTTTTTAACCAACAGTAGATAACATAATAATGTTGTTTACTGCAGGTCAAAATTTGTGTTCACGACAATGAAGAAAGGGATCTCTTTATAGTTGCCGCGCTTTGTCGCCTAAAATATTACACAATGCCTTTGCCGTGCACGTCTTTACTTGTTAATACCTGCACGGAATGGTCCGCGGCTCGATAGGTCCTCACCAGATGTGATATTCCTATGTAGAAATTCGAATTTCCTATAATATAATAATTGTCGAGAATCTCTGGATATTGTCGTCATAGAGCGGCACTGGGCAAACCGCATTCTCCTATATTATACGATCAGATCGCATCTGACCCGGTCGGTCGGATTCCTGCAGTCTTGTATAGTTATCGTCCAAAAATATTTCACGTGTTAGAAATAATTATTATAATTCTTAGGAATTTGATTTCGATAAATGATAATAATGATTAGGGTTCGGGATTTCTAGCATTTGGATATTTTTTTTGTAGTGGTCATAGATTATTCTAGGTAAGTTATACATTTTTTTTTTATGAAATGCCGAAATACAATACAAATTTTAAATTCGCATTTGTATTTAGCAGTTATTGCAGTTATATTTTAGGAGAAGTGAATACGTATTTCAACGATTTTTACCATATTTGTACAATGCGCATATTTCACAGTTTTTATTTTTTGTACACTTACAACTGTCGGGAAAATCGTATTTGGATAACATTCAAAAATATTTCTTTTAATAAATTAATTTGGGTAGGTAGGTCTTAGGTACGTGTCTCTTTTTGTTTCTCTTTGTCTTTATCGATTAATAATTGACCTTGTTATCGACGGTACAGATGACGATGGTCGATGAGTAACCCGCGTATAAATTATTTTCATTATGTACCTATTTATTTTTGAGATTTTTATTTCTATAATTATAATATGTTTTATGCGTTTTTTATGCAATTACCTGCATATTTTGACGATTTGACTTCATATTTGCATGTATATTCCGATCATTTTTAGTGCAACAAGTCCTGAATCCTAAATTAATAATATAAGTAAGTAACTGTTGTAGCTTTATTGAAGTATAATTTTCTGTTAGTTGCGTGTATAAAATATAAGTAGTTTGATAATGTCGGGTAAATAATGTAGAGACACTAATAGGTACGAAAATTCGATTAGGTTCTCGATATTTTACGGAGACTTGTATATTTTGGTTGGAAACATGTACCCATTTGAAAATATATACCAGCGTACAAGTCTGGCCCATTCAAATCTGGAATTCAGGCTTGTACTTTTCAGCTTTTTATAGCCAACCCCATCAGATTATTTTTCCTGTCGATCATATAATTTTTCAACTTTTTCTCAGCTGATGATTTCAGTTTGACGCATAAGTATATTATGGGTCTTATGGGTTTGTCAGGAAGTGTCTTTGAGACCAATTGTGATATAAGACGGTAGGGTTTCGTGCTAAGTTTCCCGTGAAACCTTTTGTAGAAAATGATGGCTGTATCCTGGATGGTTTTGATTTGGAGTTCGTCGTGGAGTAATTTGTTCGTTACGTACCATGGAGCTTTTGTGATGATACGCAGACAAATAGATTGGAAAGCATGAACCGTTTGGCAATTTGATTTTTTGGCCGGGCCCCAGAACATGATGCCGTAGGTCTAGTTATAATATTTAAGTAGTAAAAAGTGAAAAAAAAAAATTAAAAATTAAAATCAGGTAATATTGGAGTCTGCAGCACGCCAGTTTTTCGTGTCTAACGTAAAAAAATGTTATAAAATCGAATGACATGCGAAGTTTTGCCACGAAGCCGACGAAAACGATTACAATAATATCGTATAATATGATAATATTATATAGGTGTCCACTCGCGACGATTCGGAAACTCGTTTATTGCGGTCGTATTATTTTCAACTACGCGTATCTTAACGCGCGTGTCCGCCGTACACACACTGCGGTGAAACGTTTTTTTTTCTAAAGTTTTTTTTTCCTTTTATAAATTAGGTATATTATTATTCTCCTATACGAATACACGTCAGCCGTCAGATCGGTTTTCGTACGACCGCATTATAGGTGTAGGTACCTGTACGCATAGTATTACGCTACTCGGTTGGTTTTCATAACAATAATAATAATAATAATAATACATATACTCGTCTCGTGCAGTAATTTTATTTTTTATTTTTAGCAAATGAATTTAAATACGAATCACCGTGAAAATCTATTTTTAAAAACCGTGCGTACAACACGGTGTACACGCGAATCGCGTAGCATCGTTCCGCGCATAATTAATAATCCGTTTATATTTTACGACCGACCGAAAATACGAATGAATATAATAATAATATATAATAATAATTTTTTATATTGATATTATTATTATATAAGCGTACGAAAATATTCGTGTATAATAAAATATACTTGTCCGAATAAAAAAATACACTAAAAAAGCGTGCGTGTGTAAAAAAAAAATACCAACAAAAAACTCTTACTTTTTTTTTTGATTCCTCGATTTATTATATACGTAAATTGTGTACAATTAAAATCGTGTTGACTGCAGGATATTATATTATTATTTCGGCGTTTGTAAATTATAATATTATTGATACAAACGAGAATCGTATTACATTATTTATACGCGCGGTATTTTTTAGGGGTCTCACACATAATTTGTTTTCTCCGTCTGCCTTTACCCGCGTTAATATATTGTACAGCAATAGAAATACGCATTGGCATCGCATTTCAAAGACTGCGACCCTTTGGTTGAAGTTTACCATGCTCCTTGACCGAATGATTTGTATTAATATTTTTTTTTGTCAATAAGTTATTTAACAAAAGAAAATCAAGAAAAACTATTATTCAAATTATAACACGCGGTTTTTTAAAAATTAAAATCGGCAAAGGCGTAGCAAACATTTTTTTTTTTTTTTTTAGTGAAACGCGTAACGGGTCCCTTCGTCTTAAACTGGACCAAAAAATCGCAATCGTTAAAGTCCGATTTGTTGTTGTGCTGTATAATAAATATTACGAGCATGGTAGACTGTGTATAAAGGCCCCTCTAGTCAGTGGCGCCGAGTAAGTGGGGTTCGAGTAAGCTGGTTCAAATGAACCTCCTGAATAGGTTGGATGGATGATAAATATATGGTTTAATAGGACAAATTGTATGGTACTAACTATTGATTAATGAATCATTAAGCGGGCAGGTGGATTGTATATGCTTTAAACTAAGATGATTTTGAACCACCGTTTTTTAAAGAATCCGGCGCCACTGCCTTGAGTTAAAATATATTTCTCGTTCCCTGCCAACTCTTATACAGATATCGAATGTAATAATATTATATTAATTATTAAGTCGTTTAAAGACACCGTGACAAATTTCAAAAACGATTAGTTCGATTCCGGTGACGAATTTTTTATACGCACTAATATTGTTGTCTAATAAAGTAGAACTGCGTAAAAATATAGTCAGAACAAAGATTCGCAAAAATTGCGTACATTTTATGACTATTTCAAAAAAAATTAAAAAATACTGAAATTCACTTTCGAATAAATTTACATATTATGGTCCCGTATCGCGAGTGTTTATTGTGTGCTGCATGTAACCATGAAATATGTTCGAAAACACGTTCGCGCAAAACGGCTTTTTAAAATTTCTCTACAATTAGAAACATTAAAAAAAAAAAATAAAACCATAATTAGTTTATATTTTTAGATTTTCAGTGTAGCGAAGAATCAAAGATGTTTTTTTTACAGGAGGAGACGATTTTTCGGAAAATCTATTTTTGGTAAATTTCTTGGTCACAAGAAAATTCAGAATCGTTTTTTGATTGTAACTATACGTCTTTTTTCCAGTTGTATACATTCAAATCCCTTCTAAACGCCTCATGTTTAACATCCTATATTATATTATAATTTATATACAAGTATGTATGCTATGTTTATATGTTTGTATAAAAGTACATTTTTAATTCGATTAAAATACAAGCGCATCTGGCGTATCTAATAACGTTTCGTTTATTCTTATAAAGCAACTTGCTGCGGTGTTGGATTTGTACGTATTGTGTGTTGGAAATTGAAAAATGAAAATGAAAAAAACTGCAAAAGCCGATCAAACGTCGAGAGGTGTCGCATACAAAACGACGAGTGCCTATAATAATATAATAATTTATTGCTGAACGGACGTTTTTAGTTTGTAAATTTTCGTTCAGCAGAACCGATTTAGACTTTAGTTCTATGAGTTTCGATAGAAGAGTGAATTGATCAACTGTCGAACTTCGCTGTCGTGTGTTTATAAGACGCGGAGACAACAAATGCATGTGTTTCGTCCTCTTACCGTGATTTATTTATAATTAATCTACACCGATCGGGCAGTTTGGACACGAGTACATTACGTATTAATACAACATTGAAATAGTAATAATAATAACAGTGACAAGACATAATTTTGATTTAATAATTCACGGACAGACGTGGTACGCATAATGGAGCGAAAACAAACTTGAACTTTAAGATTCTGTGTGTTGTTCTGTAATGTTTAACGTCATTTTTATATTCGAAATTTGGCTGTTTTTTGTATCAATTTTAAAATTAAAACTAACTTAATTTGTTGACTTAACTTATTATGCACATTATCGATTTAAATAATGTTTCGATGAATTAACGCCTAATTCACGCGTACCCGCGAACTGTTTTACAAACTATTCACTGGTTCAATCAACCAAGCCCGAGCCTTCAAATAATTTTACACAAACTCCTTCTACAACTTCGACGACATCTGAAACCCTGGTACGCTCTGATCAGTCGTGGCTAACTACCGTCAAACCCGAACCTAGACTTTTCTAATAATTTTCCTAAACCGTCATTAACATATCATTATTCCTGTATGTGCGATAGCCACGGTACGGATAACGAGCAAAGCGGATTGCAAGGTCTACAAACTCTGAAACGGCTTTTAAAGGCACCCTTACGTTTGTTTCGCGTGAACGTTGTGTTTTCAGCACTGAGCAAAATCGCCGGTCCTCGCGCAGCACGTAATAAACGTTTCGGGAAATGTTACGGGTTCTTAATATCACTTAATGATATCATTTTAATACTCGTTTACACGGGTCGGCCAGTCTTGATTTATTATGCATAGGTATATGTATATATATATATATATTTTTTTTTTTTTTTTTACAAGCAATTTATGTATACTTAAATAAATATAATGTACCATCCCGGATTTAAATTTTTATTATACGCCCGGAATAAAATAACCTGACCGCCCGTCCCCGTACATAAACCGTTAACCGCGAGCTACCGAACGTTTAATATTTTATTGTTATTATTATTTTTTTCTCTGGTTGATGACGCGGGAGCAAATACTTATATTATAGGTACTTACAGAATGTATACGAATAATACATATTATTATATAGACGGTACTATTAACGATCCGGTTACCGAAAATGTCGAGGTTTACCGATGTATATACGTATGTACAGTAATAACAATAATCTAATATAATAACGAGTAAAAACGCTGTAAAAGAACGTATTAAGATGGACGGAGATATTATAGCGACCCCGTATTATACAGGGTGTCCCGCGAATGTATACTCGTTTTGTATACGAATTGTACATAAAATTGCTATATTTCCGTGGAGTCACCCGGTATATATTGTATACCTATACGGGGTACGGGAACGAGGAATAAACAACGTTGTTCTTAAACGAGGAGGGTATTATTTAATTTGTGGCGATTAAAATACCGATTTGTATTTTTAAGAACAGAACCGTTTTTTTTTATAATGCAATAATGTCGTTTTAACGGCCGGGCGGTCGGATATCGCGCGCGTCGGTCCGAGCCGAAAGAAAAGAAATGAAGAAAAAAAAAAAAAAACCCGTCATGCATAAAACACAATATATATTCATTTCGAATATAGTTTTAGCCGCGTACAAAAACAATAATGATTCGGAATGTTTTCGGACTGTTCGAAAACGTTTTTATAATAACAATAATAATAATAATATAATACATGAATAATTCATGGCGGAACGCGTACACATACATAATTAATTATGAGATAGTTATTTATACATTTCATTTTTTTTTTTTTTTTTGTGCACT